TTTTAGAGGTGGGGTCTTGCTCTTGCTCAGGCTGGTCTCGAACCTGTGAACTCAAGTAATCCATCCGCCTCTGCCTCCCAGAGTGCTGGGATTATAGAAGTGAGCCACTGTGCCCGGCCTATGAGCCTTAGTGTTCTTACCTACAAAACAGGTTAATCATAGTACCTACTTTGTAGGGAGTGAGGATTCAGTAAAATATGCCAAGTGCTTGGTAAAGTGCCTAATAAATGTTGACATGAGCTGGCACAGCCCCTGGAACTAGGTGGGCTTCGGGCCATTGAAGCTAGCCTGGGGGCTCACCAGGCTGCAGTCCTTACTTGATGGGGTAGGTCTCATCCTTACGCCTCTGCTTCTCATGTGTAGGTAGAGTTTCCCAGCCAAAGGTTAGGCTCCAGTCAAAGTTGCCACGGCTATGCACTCTGCCCCTTGGGATGGGCTTGGAGAACTCAAAAGTGTTAAGGTCAATGGTGACGATGTCTGGGCTCACTACCACTGTCTTGTCCTCAGCGATCCGAGCCAGGAGGGGCTCCAGCCAGCCATGGAAGCACTCACCTGCAGGCCAGACCAGAAGGCAGTAGTCAAGAGTCCTGCTTATACCTAAGCCCAAGCCCAACCCAGGTAGGGAGACTCAGGAGGATAAGATGACCCTGTACCCACTCCCTGGTTATGGACAGAGAAGCATAAGCAAGCCCCCCAGTTGCAGGGGGGAGTAGAGAGATCTGAAGCTCTCCTCCCACCATGCCCCACCTCCAAAGGCAGAGGCAGCTTTGGAAGGAGATGGAGGTCTCAGGGGAGTAACGTAGTCAATGCAAATGATCCAAGTACAGAGAAGGCCCCAGAGATGGTTGTCTTCAGGGTTTCCAGCCTGTCCACTGAGTTGGCCCTCTACACACAAGTGTGGATTTCAGAAAGGAGTGTTTCCCCTCCCAGGAGTATTTACATCTCAGACTTCAGCCCCAGTTGCAGAATAATAATCCCTTTTATTTGTTTGGTCACTTCAGTGAACTTTGGGATATATTACTTTATTTGATCCTCAGAGTAATAATTTTGTCAGGTAAGGATAGTAACTAAGTTAGTAACAGAGTAGTCAGAATGTAAACCCAAAATCCTGGCTCCAAGTTTAGCACAATCCACAAGATACACTGTGCCCACTGCTCTTAGGGAATAATTTTTTTCCTGACAACTATGGGGAGGTGTTTTGGTTTGGGCAAGAGGAAGGTCTTCCTGGCTCCATGTGGCCCTATAAAAACAGCCCGCACCAATCAGTTCCCCACAGGGGTCACAGGAGGCCTCTTAAGGCGGGGTTTAACTAAGAACAAGGTACAGATGGGGGCTGAGGAGGAGAGATGAGAGCCTCTGCCCCCAAAACACACTCCTAGTGGTTCTAGGGTCACCGGTTGTTTGGGGGCTATTTGCTTTGTTGTTGTTGAAACAGAGTCTCTGTCACTCTGGGTAGAGTGCCATGGAGTCATAGCTCACAGCAACCTCTTGGGCTCAGGTGATCCTCTTGCCTAAGCCTCCCAAGTAGCTGGGACTATATGTATCTGCTGTAACACCCGGCTACTTTTTCTATTTTTAGTAGAGATTGGGGTCTCGCTCTTGCTCAGGCTGGTCTTGAACTCCTGAGATCAAGCCATCCGCAGGCCTTGGCCTCCCAGAGTGCTAGGATTACAGGTGTGGGTCACTATGCTTGGCCTTTTAGGGCTATTTGTGCTTCTTGATAAAACATCCTTGGGATTGGGGGGATTTGGGGTGGGAAGAGGGTAGAAACAGCTAGAATGGGTCCCGATCCTCCCTTACTCCTAGAACAACAGAACAGGAAGGGACGTTGTGACGCCATTGTCCCTGCCCCTCCTCCTGCCTGGAGGGAGGCACTGGGCCACAGCAGGCTGCTGACCAGCACTCTGTACTCACAGTGGGCATCCAGGAACGTGAGCACTTCCGCCTGGGCCACGCTGGCCCCCAGCAGCCGGGCAGTGATCAGCCCCTTCCGCTCCACCTGCCGCACCACCCTTACCACCTGCAGCTGCTGCACGTACTGCTCCAACTTCTCTTTTAAGTACTCTGCAAGAAACAGGGCCACTGTGGTCAGCTCACCACTTTGTTGCAATCCTAAGCCCCTGTGGGCACTGACCCCATGGGCTCCTGGGCCTCCTGAGCCTCCAGCAGGCCTGGATTTTATCCCTTTCACACCTCCTGCACTAAGCCATTCCACAGAAGCCTGAGGTGGGGAAGGAGGTGGTTGAGGAAGGTGGAGAGAGACAGGAGGGAGCCCTGCCTGTGGCCAGGCACACCTTGCTGGCGCGCTGGTTCTGCAGTGCCAAATCCCGTCCTGTTTACCTGGGCACTCTCTCTAATGTCTGGGGCAGCGCCTCAGGGTCCTGTTTCTTTGGTCTCAGATCAAGCCCAGACTTCTGACTTGGGCTCTCGGGGTCCTTTCTCAGACTCTCTGCCCTCTCAGCCTTCACCTTTTACACCTGGATTCTGGTTGCTACTGTCATTGTCCAATGTCTATGACTCCCTGTCTCTCAGGCGCCTCACAGCCAGTTGGAACACCTGAGCACCTGCCAGGGACCAGTCTAGGTGAGGTCAGATCTTTCATGCTGACTTCCATATTTAATCCTCTCTGTGAAGGTTAACAGCTCTGTGAAACAGCCAGTGTCGCCCCCAGGGTTTATAGAAGGGAAAAGTAAGACCAAAGTGATGCGCCCAGGGTCACAGAAAGGGAAAAGAGCAGCCCTGATCTGTGTCTGGGATTCCTCGCCTGCTCCAAGAGCAGCAAGGCCACTCAGTGAGGATTTAATGTGCAAGGGCTTCAAGGTGGTCTCTGCCACCTCCCTCAGTCATCCGATGCCTTGCCACTTCCCTATGTGTGAGACCCGAGGGAGAGCAACAGAAGGGGACGAGTGGGCAGCACCTGTAACTCAGTCAGCAGGGCACTAGCCACATACGCTGAGGGTGGTGGGTTTGAACCCGGCCGGGACCAGCTAAAAAATAAAAAACAACAACGACAACTGCAA